ACATAGGCAACAGTGCAATTCTGACAAGCTATTTGGAAAATTAGTCTGATACTCATTTTAGATTTCCATTTGTAGACAGTTTATAAGCCATGTTGCCATCAATTAAAAAAATAACTTTTTACACAGTTCTAAGTACTTTATTCTCCAGAAGAGGTCAAGTACATACATTTGATGGCAGCTGCTGTTAGATCAGACCCTTCACCTAGAACAGGAAGAAGGTCAGACAGAGCTAGAGTTATTCATAAATATATAGGAGGATAACAGCTAGGTGGCACAGTGGATAGAGTAACGGGCCAGGAGTCAAGAAGACCTGAGTTCAAATTTGGCCTCAGGTACTCACTAACTGTGTGACCTTGGGCAAGTCACTTAACCCTGTTTGCCTCAGTTTCCTTGTCTGTAAAATGAGCTGGAGAAGGAAATGGCAAAGCACCTTCATCAAGAAAACCCCAAATCAGTTCATGAAGAGTTGGTCATGACTGAAATGATTCAACAACGGCAACATTAGGAGGACAGCACCAACTGCAAAGGAATTCTACCAATCCCTGTGTTTAACTTTAGCTACATACCCTAGCTTGGTGCACTGGTAAGAGGTTCTAAGTCCCTGTGTCCATCTCAGCATAAAACTTCACAGTACCTAAGCTCTGTAGGCCAGATGAGATGTTAAGCAATTAATACCTGACCAGCGCTAACCTTTTAGGATCAATTAAATACTGTTTTTTCATTTCCATAGAGCCAGAAAAATATAGGAATTTACTGAATTCATGTAAAGTAGACCTAGGACTGTACATCTCTCTATAAATTTGTTCACATGGCTTGTGTATTATTCACTAAGTTCTGTAGTTAGCTGATAGTGGATGGGGTTATCTCTATTTCTTGAAATGCCCAAAATGACTTCCATATTGGCCTACTGATATTTGAATTCTTATGTTCTCTCTCATTAGTAAAAATCAGTCCTGTGAACATATGCACAGTTAAAGGAAGCGATTATGTATTCCTTAAATCAGGTCAGGACAGTTGATCAGATAATTTTAGAAAGAATCAATTCACTTCTGCCTGAAGTATTCTAGTTAACCATCTAAACAGTCTCAAATTCACTAGATAACTTGTTAATTTGTATTGGTGATCTAGATTTCACCTGACTTCAAATCAATAGATAAAGTTTTGCTGAGCATCTACTCAGTACGGGGCATGGAGTGGGACAGACTAGAAAACTCTCTATCCTAGAATTGTAGTTCAGTACTGTCCTACTCTTTATGACCTGGTGGGCCCTACTGTCCATTGGCTCTCTTGGCAAAGATACTGGAGTAGTTTGCCATTTCCTTCTCCAATGGACTAAAGCAAACAGAGGTTCAGTTACTTGCCCAGGATCACACAGCTAGTAAGTGTCAGAGGTTGGATTTGAATTCAGGTCCTCCTGACTCTACACCCAGTACTCTATCCACTGAGCCATCCAGCTGGCCTAGAATTTCATAGTCTCAAACGTCATCTTAAAAATTTAGAGGTAGAATAGCACTGTAGAAAGAACACTGCATTTTGGAGTTGTGAACTCCAAACCCCATGAACATCACAAACCCCAATCTGAAGCAGAGTCTGCTCTACGAAAGAGACAAACAAAATTGGGGTACATATGTCCATGATTTAATGTCTCAAAGTGCATTTCATGGGAGTTCAGTCCAAAACTGGGCCCCCCTAAGGGGGCCAGTTCAGAACTGGCTCAGTTTGGGATTTTGGGGTATAGAATTATATGCCCTTCAAAGAGCAGGTGTTGGGGCAGCTAGGTGGCGCAGTGGATAGAGCACCAACCCTGAAGTCAGGAAGACCTGAGTTCAAGTTCGGCCTCAGACCAAACAGTTGACACTTACTAGCTGTGTGACCCTGGGCAAGTCACTTAACCCCAATTGCCTTTTAAAAAAAAAAAGAGTAGGTGTTCCCAAAGGGGTGTCAATCAACCATGATTGGCTGACATACTAGGAGATGGGTCAGTTCCTTAGATCACTCAGTCCACAGGGGAGGATATGTGCCCACCAACAAAGTAGATACCACCTCTAGTCTTGGAAGTCTGCCTCCACCCAAACCTGAGTCAGATAAAAACAACTCAGGCCTGGGTTGGAGTTTGACCAAGATAAGAATATTCAATGCAATCTCATTATCAGAGATGTCCTTCTGAACAACTTTGGATAGAAGGTTGGCAGGGTGGAACTCAGTCTCCAAAACACAGATGACCAAAAGAAATTAGTTTTCACAGAGTCTAAAGAACAGATTTCAAATACCAAATGGGCTAGTTACTAGCTATATGACCTTGGGAAAGCCCTTCCTCCTCTCTAGGCCTCATCCACATAAAATGATGGGGTTAGAACTTGCAATTGTACAGGTAGAGTGACTAAACTGTCCATACCCTTTGGCCCAGTGATACCACCACTGGGCATGTTTGCAAAAGAGATCAAAGACAGAAAGAAAGGTCTGATGTATATCACAATATCCATCTCAAAATCTTTTGTGGTAGCAAAGAACTAGAAACTATGTGGATGCCAATCAATTGAGAAATGGTCAAATGAGATGCGTAGAAGTAATAGAGTATTATTGGACAGTAAGAAATGATGAATCTGAGGAACTCGGAGGAATATAGGAAAAATTGTATCAACTGGTACAAAGCAGAAGCACAAGAAGAATGTGCACAGTGACTAGAGCAGGGGTTCTTAAACTTTTGGGGGGTCATGGACCCCTCTGGAAGTCTGGTAAAGTCTTTGGACCCCTTCTCAGAGTGATAGAGTAAAATGAGTATGGAAATGCTAAATTATAGTTAGAGGTTAGTGAAAATAAGGATGTGCTTCTTTCCCTATCCAAGTTCATGGATCCCTGAAATCTATGTTCTATGGATCATGGGTCTGTGAACCCTACAAAATAAAAAATAGTCTCAGAGTCAAGGAAAGCAGAATGTTACATGTGTTTTTCAGAAGTAGTCACACTATAGGTTGCTTTTGCTTAACTATCTTTCATTGTTAGAAGACCCAATATATATCACATGTATTCGTAGCAATATTAATTTAGGGAATGGAGGGATATGTGCAGAAATGATTGATGTATGAAAAAAAAAGACATCAATAATAGTTTTTAAAAGAAAGGAAAGGAAGGAATTAGACCAAATGACCCCTAACCTTCCTTTCAGCTCTATAGTTAATACTCACTGATTATCAAACTATAATAATAATTACATTCAGTCCATGAAACCTATGATCACCCAGTTATAATAGGAACAGAACTCCTAAAGGGGAGGAAGTCTTTTGTTTTTGTCTTTGTAAGCTCAGTTCCTAGCACATAACAAAAACTCAATAAAAGCTTGTGGAATTGAATTGAATGAGGGAAATATCAAAGATGGTTGCAACAAAGACACTAAGTGTTAGGAGTAAGACCGTGCTAAGAATTCTGAGAGGCATTTTAATTCAACCACAACTTTGAATGGTAACACCTCCCAAGGGAATGAAATTAATTGTAGAAGGCAGACATATAACAGACATAATTTTATTTCCCACATCTTTCAATGCCCCTCCCAAAGCACAAGAAGAGAGAGAGAGAGAGAGAGAAAGTCTTCAGTCTTCCAATTTTCACTAGTTATATAGAGGATAGCATACTAACCTTGCATCAGAGAAGAGAATATTGACCTTGAAAATAATAGAGAATAGTGTTGATGCAGGACCAGCTAGGGGACCAGGACAGATCCTAGCCCAGATCTTTATGCTGAATTTTTCCAGATGTTGGTTAAAGCGACTGGTCAGGTAACCATTGCTCCCCTGTCCATTGGAAGAAGAGCCCCAGGCACCATGGGCATGCAAAGCAGAGACAGAGGTTCCTGGCAGCAATTAGGCTAGATGCAAGGAGGGTTCACTGGCAGAACTAGCTGGGTCCTCCTTCTGAGATTTCTTAGGGGACAGAGACTCACACAACCAATCTGCCTCCATCTAATTCTTATTTTTACCATATGCCAGCCTGGCCAGCTTTTACTGTGTGCCAGCATGGCCAGCAGAGAGACAGGGAAGATGCACAGGACACAGCACGAATAATTGCTTACTAAATATCCTTCCCAAATTGTGACCAAAAAAAAAAACCTTCCTTTTTCTCAAGATGCGGAATGAGATGTACTTTTTTTGATATGTCTAATGTGACATTTGTTTTTGCTTGACTCTATATTTGTTATAAAGTTTTTGATTTCCTTTTCTTTTAAAATGGGGAAGGAATTGAGAGGGAGAGAAAATAAAGACTTGTTCCCTTAAAAACGAAAAGAAAACTTGCTCTTTCAACTATTAGATGACCTACTGTACATGTGTCTTATTTTGTTCTAGTCCCAAAACTGAACCACCAAATTGGCCTGAGACAGGTCTGGGTTACAGCTCAAAATTATTGAGGACTTAGAAACTTATTTTGGATTTTGCCAGTGCATACTGGTTGGGGGCTCAGAGTGATGCATTAAATGGAAATGAGAGTTTATTAATTTGTTTCATTAATTGATCACTCTGTGTGTGTATGTGTGTGTGTGTGTATGAGAGAGTGAGAGAGTGAGAGTGAGAGAGAGAGAGAGAGAGAGAGAGAGAGAGAGAGAGAGAGAGAGAGAGATCCCTTAGAAGAGACTTGAATAGTAGACTTGAGTCAGAATGATATAAACACAAGGCAAGTAGACATTATTTTTTTCCTTTCTCTTATAGGACAGCACTCCCTAGATTTGAAAGGAAGGCCCAGAAGTAGAGAGGCTTGCTAGGCAGGGGGAATAAGTGTCCCAGGAATGGACCAACAGAGTTCCCACTACCAGGTGTGACTGATGGTTTGGCCTGCTGTGTTTGCCAGCATCATCTAGAGGTTATACCTATTTTTTGGGTGCCAAGAGCATTCATAACTGAATAGCCACTGATTGTTGACTAACTCAGAGGGTGCATGGCATGGTAGAAAGAATGATAGATTTGGAATCTAAGGACTCAAATCTTTGAAAACAATGACTACTTACGAAATCTTGAGCAGCTCACTTAGGTTCTCTAGATCTCAGATTCTATACCTGTAAAATAAAAGGGTTGGACTAGATGATCTCTAATCAATCACCAATCAATCAACAAGCATGTATTAAGCACCTATTATGTACTACAAGCACTGTGCTAGGCTCTGGGAATACAATGACAAAAGCAAAATAATCCCTTCCTCCTAGGAGCCACATATATAGGTGTAACCCTGGCTTTTCTAGGTATGCTCAGTTCTAACATGGAGCTGCCCTTGAGAAGAGTATGCTTGCCTGGGTTACATAGGTATAAATAAAATAAAATCACAATAAATATGAGGTAATGGGGGATGGGAAGACACTAGCTGCTGGGAAGGACTAGGAAATGCTTCATGTGTGAGAGAAATTATTATTAATAACCAATGACTTGGGGAGATCTAGAACTTCCCCTTTTTCTAAAGTCCTCATTTCAAAAGTTCAGTCTCTGAAAGATGCTGCAGATGAGATTGGATTAACTTTCTTCACAATCTTGTTCAGACCTACCCAGTTAGGGAATTGGGGAGATTTGGGGAGACCCACCCAGTTAGGGAAACCCATTTTGTTCTACTCAGGTTTGGGTGGGGATAAATTCTTTGAAGAGATTGCCCAAGGCTGGACAACAAGCAAAGTTCATTAGAATAGGTCCTTCCCCTCATTGTAATATTCATTCTCTCATTAATTATTAACCAATCAGAGTTGATTACCACCCTCAGGAACACCCCTGTTCCAAGGGCATGTAAGTTGTGAGCCCACAGCCATGAGGGTCTTTGGTATTTGAGAGTACCACTGACCTCTTTTATTAATAACATACTAACCTTATTAATAAAATGATTAAATTGCCCAGGAATTATCTCTCGAACTTTTTAAACATCACATGTAGAAGACGATGTTTGAGCAGAACTGTGTGGGACAGCACCCTAACCCAAATTAAACTCAGAGACTTCTCAAGGTGGAAAGCAAAGGTTACCTTTATTAAAATCTCGAGAGAGGACTGTCTGCTCCTCTGATGCATGCAGGAGAGAGAGACCAGCACGCAAAAGGAAATGGGATTATATACCCTAACACAAACAAATCCCCACCTACCACTACCCCTTATTCCCATTGACTGTGAGGTGGGCTTACATTCTAGGCACAAAATAGTTTCTTCCCATCCCCTTCTCCCTTATCCCAGAGACAAGAGAAAGGCAGGAAGCTAAGGGCAAACAGTTCAGGTTGGGGGCAGAGTTTATTCTTTTGTTATGTGCTTAAAAGCAGGGTCTGAGCGGGGGAGGATTTTGAAAGTAATAATCAAGAATTATTGACCTTTGAGGAGCCTTCACTTCTGAAAGTTCATCTCTTACAGAACCATGCAAGAAACTAGGAATTCTGAGATCATTTTCAGCTCTAAATCTATGATTTTGAAGTTAAACTTTCCTGATGATGGAAAATTAGCTTTAGGTCATTTCAACAGCATGCGTAAAAATGATGAGCCACGGATATCCTGAAAGTCAAAAGCCCTAGTTAGAGGCATACAGTGTCACTGCATTTAGAAAGAAAAACAAAGCATTGATTTGTGGCAGTAACAGGTAAGATGCCTTCAGGTCTTCAGACTAGTTCTGTAATTTCTAATCTACATAAATTACTTTGGACCTGACTGTAAACTAGTTAATGGCTGGCTGGTGACAAAAAGATGAGGAAAATAATGAATGCAAACCAAGGTGACACAAAAGATTTAGAGGAAATTGTATCTGCTTCATAATTATGCTGACGCATGGGAAATTAAAACTCTTGTTGGCCTCCTCACTCTCTCCTTCCCTCCAGGCTTCCTCATCTTCTCCCCAATAAAAGAATTTTGATAGCAAATGGGAATTAGAGTGTGAAATCAAATAAATCAAAGGAAAAGGAAGATAAGTGGGGAATAAGAGAGATGAAAAGAAAGAAGAGAAGGGACCCTGGGGAGAGCTTTGGGTATTTGGGGACTATATCTACACAACTGCCTAGAGAAGTCTCTTATATGAATCTTGATCTATCAACCTTTAAGGTGATGTCAGGTTTGTTTTTTTAACTGAGTTGTTAGTTCAGTGAAAGGAAGAAGATCAGTGAAACAAGTTATTTGAATGAACTTAATCAAAACGATTCAGTAGTTTCCTGTAGGCAGAACAGAACCATTACAAATAGAAGCATTACAATAGAAGCATCTAAACAGAATCCACTAAACACTGACCAACCTATCCAACAATACAGGTAACTTACTCAATAGTGTTATCTTTATAATTGTGCCAATAGTTCATCAGGATGGTTCTCCTGTAGCCTAGCTACTGTATTTCAGAATTGAGGTGATAATTTCAGGCTTAGGCATGTAAGTAGCCTGTAGTTCTCTCTCTTTTTTAATCCCATTACTTGTTATTTCCCCAAACCACTCCTCTATAGAACACTTCTTTGGAGGGAGGGGTAAGGGAAGGGGGTCACACAGGAGAAGGGGGAGGAATACAGCTGTACAAAATAAACCAATACTCTGACCTTGTCTGAAAGTCCACTGTTTCTCTACCAAGAAAAGGGAAATGTGTTCCACTATCAATCCTCCAGAGTCAAAATTATTCATCATGTTCATCTGAATTCTTTTAATGTCTTTTAAGTTTGTCTCAATGTTTTTATCATTATTATTATCTTATTGGTTCTAGTTGATATGTTCTGCATCCATTCATCTTCCCATGTTTTTCTGAATTCCACAGTGATTATTTCTTATAAAATGCAATAATATTTCATGATATTCATTTGCCACGTTCATTTGTTTAACCCCAATTATCAGGGACCAACTCTGTTTCCAGGTTTTTGCTGCCACAGAAAACTCAATCCTGGTATTTTTCAAAATCTTTGTCAATCTCCAACCACTCAATGTCTAGAAAGACACAACTCTTTTCATAAGAACATTCACAACTACTGTCTTCCTTTGTTTTCTTTTTATAATTAATTAATGGTGAACTAGGAGAAACACAGTTACCTTGTACAAATAAATTTCCTACTATATGTATTTCCAGAATTGTATCAGAGAAAAATAATAAGTTTGGCAAGTTTCTCGTCCAGGTTTGAATGTCCCTAGTGATTAAATTTCCTTCTTTTTACTAGGGAGACTAGTGCCTAATTTAATACTTTTTCATTGTTATTCATGTTTCTTGTAGCAATTTCTCGTGTTCTGATAGATTTATTTATTCCCTACATAGCTGAGAAGCTGAATTGCAACATTTTGAATCACTATCTAACCCAAATTTTATTCAATTTCTTTTTTTTTTTTCTTTTCTTTTTTTTTTTTTTGCTTTAACTTGAAGACAGGGATACCAAGACCTTGGAGCCTGTGTTTCTTTAAAATGGAAGGAAAATTGAATCAATGTTCCTTTTTAGAATTTGGGAGTAGAGAGCCAACAAAATAGATACAACCTAAACACTTTAGATCTGATATATGGGGCAGCTATAATTACCCTAATGCCATTGCATAGGTGAATTGCCACATTATCTAAACATCGTTAAGGAAACATTCTCCTTTCCTCTCCCTAGGGTGCTCTTTTTGAAAGTCTTACTGCTCCGGTTAGTTCAGTGCTATTTATTTTTACTTGTGTTCATTATTTTAGTCCCCAGGAGTAATGTTCAATGTTTAGCAACAATAAATTTTATTTCCCACATGTCAGTCTGGTTACAAAGCTGATACAAATCCCTCTAAATCTTTTGTGCTGCTCAGTATGCATTCATTACTTTCCTCATCTTTTTGTCATCAACCAACCATTTAACAAGTTTACAATCAATTCCAAAGTAATTTATGTAGATTAGAAAGCACAGAAGTGGTCTAAAGCCCCAAAGGCAACTCACCTGGTACTGCCCTGGATGGGTCAGGACCTTCCAGTATCAAATCAACCAGTAAGAGAGCCTATTTAGAGTAATAGCTTCAGCTCTATTTCTGCACCTTGAAACCATGCCATTCACAAATCTTTATCAATCAAACAAAATTTATTTACTTTCACCCATAGAAACCATTCCAAAGAAGTGGCTCTATGTTTAAAAAAAAAAAAACTAACTACAAAGGGAATGAATCAAAACAGATAGTGAAAGGTCAGTACTAATTAGTTTACATTATATTTGTTTTTTATTAAAAAAAATTCTAAATAGTTTTACTCTATTGCATCAGTCAATTAGCATTTATTAAGCACCTACTATGTGCCAAGTACAAGAAAATAGCTAATAAGGGGCCAGTCCTTATATATTGTACTCTACATGGCACCAACTCATGTGGAGGTTGGGTAAGCGTGCTTCTAGGACATACTCTTTCCCCATTCAGAGCATATCCAATCAATCAATAAATATTTATTAAGCACCTACTATATGCCAGGTGCTGTGCTACATTCTAGAATATCTAGGTATTCTGTTCCCTATCAGCTGACTCCATTGTTCCATGGAAAGCCTTTTAATTGACTGCTGATCCAATAGTGAGTGTGCATGTAAAAGGCACAGACAGAAGAAAATTTTTTTTTCTCTCTCTGGAAGCTTTTGAATGAGGAAGAAGAAATGTTATCAGCCACCACTGCCAAAGGGCCATAAACACGTGGGAGTAATGTTCTTCTATTCCCATTACATCCATTCTTTCCTGTTCTTAATTAGACAGAATGAACCAAATCACAACCTTGTGAGCTTTGCAAGGTCACAAGAAGTCACCAGAGGGCCAGCAACTGAATTCCATGAAAGAAATCTTCCCGTAGCTTTAGCAAAGGAGGATGAGGAGGTTCCAGCTCTGAAAAGCAATTTTCAGGGTCAAGAGCTTGACCCAACTCGCCAGGGATCAATCAGGCAGCAGAGGCATCACGTCTCATTCCCAAGGGATTGAGTCGTCCGTTGGATATGTCACAACCAGAAGCAGAAGCAAATTTGGGGGAGAGGTTCGGGGAATATTTGTAGTGACCACTTTAAAGTACAGCCCTCTCTCCAGGGACCAACACAGTAAAGGAGAGAGTGCTCCTGGTTTGGGAGTTCTTTGTACTTCAGACCTCTCCCTGCATTCT